GTATTTACTGGCCAGTTGTACTTCTTCTGAGAAGTATCTCTTGATTTTCGTTGTCTGTTTTTGATTGGGTCTTCTGTTTTGGAGGTTTGTAGTTAAAATTTTGAGTTCTTTACCTGTTCTAGATACCCGGCCTCTGTTCGTGGTATAGCTGGCAAAATTTTTTTCATATTCTGTAGGTGGTCTCTTTTCTCAATTGGCTGTTTCCTTTGCTGTGTAGAAGCATTTTAATTTGGTATGGTCTCATTTGCTGATTCTTGGTGTAATTTCTTTTGCAACTAGGGTTCTGTTCAGAAAGTCCTTTTCTGTGCCTGTGTCTTCAAGATTTTTACCTATTTTCCCTCAGACTGTTTCTGTTTTGATCCATTTTGATTTTCCTTTACTACATGGTAAGAGATATGGGTCTAGATTCAATCTTCTGCCTGTGGGTAACCAGTTTTCCCAGCACTGTTTTTTAAAGAGGCTGTCTTTCCTCCAGGGTGTGTTTATGGCCCCTCTATCAAAAATCAGATGTCTGGGGCCTGGGATTTAGTACAGTGGTGCCACTGCAGGCCTTGGCAAGTGCAAGGTCCTGAGTTCAATCCCTGGTACCCATCTGCCCAAAAAAAGTCAGATGACTGAAGGTGTCTGTGGTTGTTTCTGCGTCCTTTCTTCTGTTCCACTGATCCATAAGTTTGTTTTGGTACCAACACCGAGCCATTTTTTGTTTTGTTTTGTTTTTCATCACTGTAGCTTTGTAATATAACTTGAAATTCAGGATTGTGATGCCTCCTGCTTTGCTCTTGTTACCCAGGATTGCTTTTGCTATTCTGGGTCTCCTTGGGTTCCATATACATTTTAGGGTTTTTTTTCCTAGTTCTGTGAGGAATGCTGTTGATATTTTGATTGAGATTGCATTTAAAGCTATATATCCATCTTAATAGTGTGGCTATTTTGACAATATTGGTTCAGCTTACCCAGGAACAAGGGTGTCTTTCCATTTAGTAATGTCCTCTTTGATTTCCTTTTTCAGAGTAGCGTAGTTTTCTTCCACTTCCTTGGTTAGGCTAATTCTGAGTATTTCTTCATGCTATTCCTTGGTGGGTTCAATATCAGTGCACTGGAACACTATTGATTTTGTGTGTGTTGATTTTCTATCCTCTGACCTTGCTGGATATATTAGGTATAGGTGATTATGGGTGGAATTTTTTTTGAGTCTTCTATGTAAAGGATCGTGTTGTTAGTGCATAGAGATCGTTTGACTTCTTCCTTTCTGATAGGTATTCCTTCTATTTCTTTCTCTGCCTAATTCTCTGGCTAAAGATCAAGTACTATATTGGGCAGAAGTGTTAAGAATGGACCTCATTTTCTGGTTCCTGAGGTCATGGTAACTTTAAGTGCTGTTTTTTAGGAGGCAGTTGAGAACTTGGACTTGGGGCCCCACAAGACTTGGGCACGATCTCAGCTACTGCCATACCTTAGTTATGTGACTTCAGCAAGTTGTGTTTGTTAGAGTAGAATATTTTGTCTCAGAACTGTAGTGAAACAGAGCACCTGACACAAAGCATTTGCTCAAAGCACGATTGCTGTCATTGTCAGTAAATCACTGCAAGGGATCTGAGTTTGGTTTCTCCATCTACCTGGCCCTGGCTGACTCTGACCTTATCATTTTGACGTCTTGACAAGCCCACCTGTTCCTCCTTAGTTATAGTCTCAGTGTTTGCCTGTGGTGATGACTTCCTAGTTCTTCTTGGGTCTGATTTTCAGTCTGTCAGAGTGACTTTGGGCAGGTTATCTCTCAAAACCGCTGTTTTGAAAAATGATGATAATCATACCCTTCTCTTGGGAGCTGTGATGAGGATCATGTAAAGCACCTGATGCAATACCTGGGGCCTAGTAGGTGCTCAGTAAGTACTTTATGTCACAGAGCACCAAGGCTGGTGAGATCATACTATTGAGATAAAAGAACAGCAATACAGAAAATGCTTTATTACAAAATATTTACTGCAGATTCCTTGTTTTAAGAATGTGAAATGTAGCTGGGAAAACCAAACTGCAGGTCAAGGAGAGGACAACCAAATATGAAACATCGTATCCTGGCCATCAGAACAAAAAGGGTACTTGGGAGAATAGTCCTCTCTCCAGGCGTTTCTGGCAAAGGTTTAGTGGAAGAAAAGCTTAATTGTGCTCTGAAAAGTCTGTAGAGTGTGGCCAGGCAGAAGAATCCTGCTCTTTGGAGCCAGGGCTGGGGACCTGAATGTGGGACAGGCAGCAGTGTCCCTTTTCTTTCCGAGCTTTGGCAACTGTTCATCGAGGGTCCCATGGTGGGAATCGCAGCTCCCTCCAGGTGGCTGGTGTTGGCTGCGAATGCACTGCTGTTAAATGTTCGTGTATCTGTCTTTAAGCGCCTTGGGCCTGGACTGCTGCTTGTTCAGCCTGAAGGTCTAGCTTTGTGCCAGATACATGTCAAGGACCCAGTAAACAGAAGAAAGGAAAAACAGGGGCTGGTTTGGGGAGGGAAAGCAGGCAGCTTTCCTTGGGCTCCAGTTTCTCATCCACAGGAGGAGCTTGGCCCCAATGCTTGGAATGTCCAGCTTTGAGGTTCTCTTTCAGAACCACAGATATGAAAGGGCTTCGGGTGCCTTCAGGCAGCCTGCACGGAGCTCTCTGCCTACAGGCACAGCCCCAACCAGTGAGAGTGCAAGAGGCACAAATGCCTCCAGGGAAATAATTCTACAACCACTGCTGAACAAGGTTTAGACACCCTTGAGATGGAAACAACGTAAGCCCCATCTGTCTTCTCTCCTCCCTGGAGATAAAGTATCTCCCCACTTTCTTCTCATTTAACTGGTTCTTGATGTTACGTGGAGTATAGTCGAGGCTCTTGTGTATGATGAGGGTGGCAAGCAGGTTCATTTATTGAAGCTTACCGGAAGTTGTGCTCAGGGCAAGGCTGTGCCAACAAAAGACAAGAACAGACAGAAAAAGGCGCCAGGGTGACACACGAGTAAAAGCGGTGACAGAGATCACAGCGCACAAAAACAGCAACAGCAGCAACGCACGGATGAGCCAGGCTTTGGAATCTAAAGGCTGTGCACCTAAGCCCGCATGCCTCCCCTGAATCTCTAGGTAGGAATGATTGACAGGGTGCTGAGTCACCTCAGGGGCTCTCAACACACACACCTGTCCCAGAACTCACTCCGCTCTTAGTTAATGTATGACATGGCACGTATTTACCGACCCTTAGGGAGGTAAGTGGGGCTGGAGTGGAGATGACTGAAGGTCAGGCTAGAAGATCCAACACAGGTGTCCTCACCTAGACCGTTAGAGGCCTCCTAGGCTTTTGTTATTTATCCATTTGTTTCTTTGCTCTTTTAGAACAGTGGAAGCAGGAGTGAGCCAAGGGCGCAGTTCAGAGTTGAATGTGTGGGAGAGGTGACTCGCTCAGCTCCACTGTTTCTGTCTGGACCACCGGGGGCTGGACCAGTGCACGCTAAATACAGTGATACAGGGTGGTCCTTCACCCTGGGAGCCAGGTCTCCAGAATCCAGGCGGTGGGGAGGGAAGAGGGAAGAGAGGTTTTCATGGGATCCGACAGACTTCTCTCTCGGAGAAGTGGGCCTGAGGAGCCTCATGCCAACCCTGGTGTGCTGCAGCTGGAGACTAGGGCCGAGGAGTGAGGTGACTTCCCTGGCACCCTGCCCGATTGCCGCGGACCTAGGACTAGAAACCTGGCCACCCAACTCCCCACTCGGTACTTTTGCTGCTTCCTTGTGCAACTGGGAATGCCAGTGTAGGACAGCATGTAGAATTGTTGTCCCACTCCATTCTCATTCCATGTTTGGACAAAGGACATCCTTCTCCTGGGAAGATAACTACACACCACAGAATTCTGGATGAGTCCAAGAAGGAATATCTTGGGTCTGTCTTAGCCCAACTATAGTGGCTGTGATGAATTCAAAGTCTTATTTTTGCGTTTGCTTTTTGCTTTTTTTTGAGGCAAAGTCTTCTTGTGTAGTCCAGGGTGGCCTCGAACTCACTTTGTAACTCAGACTGGCCTCTAACCATCCTCCTGCCTCAGCCTCCCAAGTGCTAGGATTACAGGTGTGCATCACCACACTCAGTTTCAGAAATTTTTCATATACATATGCATATTTCTGTCTGTCTTGTCTACTATTGTTTGCACTTCTGAGCCACAGATATTTGTTCTCTTGGACTTCCCTCTCACTTTGGTCTCTGTTTTACGAAATATTTTTCTTTCAGCACTTGTAGCTTTCATTCACCTCATTTACTCGTTCGGCCAACCAGTATTTATTGAGCACCTTCATGTATGGGACACAGGCTTGCAGGATGGACTTAGATCCCACTTCTAACCTTCAGTAGCTCAGTATCCAGTGGAGCTGGTGATGTCTGCTGCTCAGGGCCAGAGCCTGTTGCTGTCCCGTCTCACTTCTTCCTCACACTCTTGAGGCTGAAGTTCAGATTTGTTGCTGGTGAGGAATGCAGTGTGGATTTGAACCAGGGAGGGGACTCGTGGAGAAACATTTCAGACGTGCATGCAAAAGACATTGCCTCTCTTTCTTAGGTTGTAGTAACAGCCAGCCAGCTCGTAGGAGCTCCCACTTTGAGCAGAGCGGTATGCGGGAATGTTACGATTTTACAGAGCTGACTAGGAAGTGGCCTCTGGACTCTGACCGACCTTCTGGGCCCTCTGTTCTGTGCATCCCTACTGTGGCACCAGCTACAGAAGGATGGGCCAGGTGGCCAGAGCCTGGTGGCTGATGGTGTCACATGTTGACCGTACCAGGCAAAGTAGCAGGTTTTAGAGCTACAGTCTCCTTAACTCCAAATGAAAATTTAGCATGGGTCCTTGTCCTCCCTGCCCTTAGTAGTGAGGACATCAAAGCTACTAGAGTGGGTGGCATCGCTGACTCTTCCTGTCTCTTAACCAGGAGTAAACCTTACCCTGAAGCTTCAGGAGTTCTTGCAGATCAACTTTGTGGATCACATGTTTTTCCCCTCAGGACTGCGAGGGCCTTATTGTCCGCTCGGCCACCAAGGTCACCGCTGATGTCATCAATGCAGCAGAGAAGCTCCTGGTGGTGGGCAGGGCCGGCACCGGTGTGGATAATGTGGATCTTGAGGCTGCCACAAGGAAAGGCATCCTGGTCATGAAGTAAGTCATGGAGGCTGAGGGGTAGATGTGGAGACTCACAGGAAGAGGGAGGGAGAATTTGGTTTAGAAAAGCCGAGTCCTAAGGAAGAGCATCCAGAAGGATGCCTTGAGGCCTAGGGGTGGTCACCCTCACAGCTTAGGGGGCCCAAGGTTGGTGAGGTTGCAGAATCTCTGGAAGTTTCACAAATCCACCCTGGTAGTGGGCTCGCACCCTTAGGCTGGCCTGGGAATCAGAGAACCTCAGTGAGCTTATCTGCTGAGTGAGCCTTCTCTTCTGCAGCTTGGCCCCTTTCCCTCCATTGCTGTCTTGGGGACTGGTTTTATTAGTTCTGCTCTGCACTATTCTTCTATCTTGTATAGATCCACAAACCTCCCACCAGGGTGACTACATCCTTTCTCTTCCATATGTCCCTGGTACCTTCTGAAGTTAAGACCTCATTCTGACTTTCAGCATTCCAGGCCCAGAAGTAAGGCAGGTCCTCTTTAGTGCTCTTGGCGGAAACCCAGGGTCAAACGGTCATTGTCAGCATGCCAAGGCTGCACGATACCTGTTCCGGCACTCAGATGGTGTGTAAGGCCATCCCTGTCCCCCTCTATGACCCCCAAGCCCTTTCTCTTCCCTTGGGGACCTCACTGTCCTTAAGATTGTTCCCTTCCCCCGCTTTCCATTTTCTCCTAGAGGGGAGGGGCTCATTGAAGGTCTGACTGAGGTCCGCGTGGAAAGGTGGAGATGTTAAAGGATAACTCACCCTGCACTCTTGCCCTGGACCCAGAGTCAACCCCAGTCCTCATCTCTGCCTCCTCCCCGACTACATACAGCCTGTTTGCTGGCAGAGAACGGGAAGCCTAGTGGTCTTGCAGAAAGATAGGCTTTGAGGGTCCCTCTATCGTCTGAAGGATCACTTGTGTTTTCCTCCTTGTAACCCTCATTTCTAGAGTTCAAGACTCCCGCAGAGGAAGGAAGGTAAACGTGTGTTAAATTCTTTCAACATCACAAAAAGCCTCTGAGAAAAGAGAAAGTCTGTGCTGCAGTTTCTGCTCTCTTTTGTGTAAGATGAGCGGAGTCAGCCCTGCCCTGAGTGCCACGGAGCGAGGGGGCTTTCTCACCTCAGAAGCTGAGAGTCAGGAGAAGCCCAACAGGTGGTGACAGAAATCTTAGCTTTGCTACTAATACAAGCCCCAGGTTGGGCACCTGGATGGAGGCCCGTGGTTGGAGGACCTCTGACAGCCCCAGTAGGATCGATGGCGTGAGGTGGCCGGGATTAGGGCTTTCTGTGTGGCAGCGAGGTCCTGAAGTGGGGAGAGATGAAAGAAAGGGCTGAGCCGTGCGTGCATCTCCCAGCCCGTGAGGCACTTCTCTGCCCTGGGGGAAGTGAGAGTTACTGGAAGAGGGACCCGTGCGCTTCTCCGGCAGCATCAGAACAGGAGCATGGGAAGAGATGGCCAGGGAAAGGCGGTTTCTTCGCAGTCCCCGGCCTGGGGCAGCCCAGCCCTGGAACCTGGAGTGGGACCGTGGGAGACGGGGCCGGGCCCACTGACTGATGTCCCCTCTCTGCTTTGGTCTTCAGCACCCCCAATGGAAACAGCCTCAGTGCCGCGGAGCTCACCTGTGGGATGATCATGTGCCTGGCCAGGTAAGTGTCTGGCCTTGCAGCAGAGCCGCGCTCCCCGCCACGTCAGTTATTAGTACTTGCCAAGCAAAACGTCCCTGGGGAACCTAGAAACATTTCAGCGCAGCGGTGTGCAAACCACTGGCAACCTTTGACGCTGCCAATCCCCCACTTAGCTTTTATTACCTGAGTGCTCGGCACAGAGGCCAGGGGTGCCTCTCGTCACTAAGGCAGATCACTGAGGCAGTGCCTCAGATCACTAGGGGAGTGCACACGAGGAGGGAGGGAAGGGTGGGTGCCTTGCTCCTTGCTTGTTGCCTAGGAGCAGGCACATTGAAAAAATGTGCTCAAGGCGTTCCTCATTCTTTCTCTTTCCGCATTTTCCCCTCTCAGCACCTCAGTGCTATGCTTTTTTTTCTAAGAAACAGGCACCCTGTTACAAAGGAGCTACTTTATTCACATTATTATGAGCAGTCATGTGACGCTGGGTGAGCTGTTCGGCCCCAGTGCTCCCTTCCATGCCCTTACGAGGTTTCCATGAGCCAATGAACCCAAACATTTCCTCTAGAGTCTAAAACAGAGAAAATGCTCCTTATGCTTTGTTTCTCATCTCTTTTTGACCTCCAGAGATGATGTGTGACTCGTGTCCATGTCACATGCTTACCCTTTGACCTCTGACTTTCCATTAATTGCTATTTCTTCTGTTCTCCATACATGGAGATTCATACCTGCATGTGGACCCATCAGAGGGAATGTGTGGGTATAGGGGGAACAGGAAGGTGGTGTCGATGTTGGAAGTGTTGAGTGAGACCAGGACAGAGTGAAAGGATGTGGACTATGATTCTTACATACCCCAGACCAGGACAAAACCTTTGGGGCTCAAAAAACTCGAGGAAGAATAAGCAATCAGAGGTCTCCTTGACAGTAGAAGATATCAAGAGTTGTGGCCCCGACAAGATAGGAAAATGAAGATAATTCCTTGAATTTTTGGGTGGAACCTTAGATGTCATCAGAGTCCCCAGTGTCCTGTTCATTTATGCGTGCAAGCTCTGGGGGATTGGCCATTGTTTGGAGGAGAGAACTTGGCTGAAGTCATTCTCACTGATACCTCAGTGGCTGAGGTGGATCAGAATCTCTTCCCAGACTTTTGGCTGAAGGCAGAGGTCGCAGGGTTCCTAAATCAGGTGTTCCCACCTTCTCTTTCTCCCCTGGGCTCGCAGACCCTCACTGAGCTTGGTTTCTGGGAAAATGACCAGGGCAGGTGGCTGTGGAGACCTGTCATTGTGTCTCCTTCCTGGGCTGGTGGGGGCCTGGGGGGGTCCTGCTGAACCTGGTTCTGTCCTTGCAGGCAGATTCCTCAGGCGACCGCTTCCATGAAGGCTGGCAAATGGGATCGAAAGAAGGTGAGCAGCGGCCCTGCCCCACCCTGCCTGGGAGCAGTGCCTGAGTCCGCTCTTGGAGCTGACTTTGGCCTCTTGCCTTTTGTCTGTCTTGTTGCAGTTCATGGGAACAGAGCTGAATGGAAAAACCCTGGGGATTCTCGGCCTGGGTAGGATTGGAAGAGAGGTGGCCATCCGGATGCAGTCCTTCGGGATGAAGGTAAGAGGTCGCTGGACGCCTTGGATTTGGGGTTTTCTGCTACCATTTTGGAAATGTTGCCTAGGTTTGGGAGAAGCCAAAACCTTTGTTCTAGTTGGATCTTTAGAGCCATTTACTAAATAAGCAGTAAAGCCAGGGAGAGAGAGAATATTGACCTGTTGATTGGGATACTGGAATTTAAAAGCCAAGGATACTTAGGGGAGGTCCTTGAAAAGTGAGTTGATACCCTTGAGTGCCTCCCAGTGGACAGAAGAGAGAGGTGTTCTTTTTGTTTTTTGAGACAGGATCTCCCTATATAGTCCAGGTTGGCCTTGAATTTACTACTGGGTTGAGCTCAAACTCATGATCTCCTTACAACAGTCTCCTGAATGCTGGGTTTACAGGCATGTGAATGAATCACACACCTGGCTCTGAAGAGGGTTCTTGTCTCCTTCTTGTCCTTTCCCGTCTTGATATGAGGCCCTCCTGCTTCTGCTGTGTCTGTTCTCCTGTGCTGTGTGAGGATAAAGCAGCAAATGTACAGCTTTGCAATGGAGGCACTGTCTGTCCTTCTGCTTCGCATTTCCCTCCATGTTTCAGAGGAGAGTTAAAGGTGCTCGTGTGCAGTCTGTGATAAAGATTACAGGGCCCGCAACGGCCAGAAGACCTCATACCTGTCTCAGAAATCACAAGTGACCCCTGCCTCTTCCAACTGTGGATGCGCAGGAGGATTCTGGCTGAGGGAAGGATGGGATCCATAGCAGTCTGCCCTCAGGACAATCTAGGAGACCTTGCAAACAGGGAAGGCCAGTCACCTGCAGATTTGCACAGACAGGCCAGAGAAATGGAGGCCGCTCGCAGTGCTGGTGGACATCTGCATGGACGCTATGGCTGTTGAGGGAATTACAGGGATAATGGGTCAGACTGCAGCCAGGAAGCCCTCAGTTAAACAGTAAGGAAAATTGTTTTGACCATAATCAGGGCCGGGGATTTAGCTCAGTGATTCCGGCATCTGCCTTGCAAGAGAAAGGAATGGAGTTTGATCCCTAGTATCAAAAAAAACAAAAAAAAAAACCAAAACCCAAAGCAAAACAAAAAACATTTTGAGACTGCATGTCACTAGGTTGTCCAGACTGACCTTGAACTTGCAGTCTTCCTGCCTCAGCCTCCCAGAATGCCAAGATTGCAGACATTTGCCATCACACCCTGCTGTCCCTCACTCTCTTCCTATTATTTCCATCCCTTGTTTCTTAGTTAGAAAGAATGGTATAGGCTACCCCTCAATTTTATATTGATGCCAAGAATTTGTAAATATGTTCCTGAGGATTCATAACAAATAGATGGTAGCCTAAAGTCTGGACCTTCCTCCCATGACCACACTGACCAGCTTTCCCTCCCTTGCTGCCCCACAGATACCTTTCCTGGGCCTCAGGACTAGGAATGAAGGTGCATTTATCCAAGTGCTGGAGAGAGGTGGCCATAGCCTAGCAGAATCTATTGATCATGAAAACAAAGCACATCCTTGCCCTCTGCTCAAGGGTGGAGGGTTGCCCTGAACTAGCAAGAGCATTTTTTATTCTTTCTTCTTTTGTGAGAGTCAAGGTTGAGACTGTGGAAAATTGTGATTCTCGGGCCAGGGATTTAGCTCAGTGGTTTGAGCGCCTGCCTCACAAGCTCGAGGACCTGAGTTCGATCCCCAGTACCAAAAAAAGAAAGAAAATTGCGATTCTCTAAAAGTGGGGGTCAGGGGTTAAGTACCACTAAGAGAGCACATGACACGGAAGTAGGGAGCATGCCATTGATCGTACAGTGGCTTGGGCACAGCTGGCAAGGCCAGCAGCCCTTCCAAATTGCCACCTCCCTTCCTCAGGGCACCACCAAACACCAGATTCTTGTAGCTCGAGATCATTCATTTCAAGGAGACCTCGGAGGAGTGACTGAGTCTCATCCAAGGTCCCCACCTCACTTCCTGGATAATGGCAGTGATAAAGAAGTTCATCTGTTCATCTTGTACCTCTGCTGCTCACAACTGCTCTGGGTTGTCTGGGAGGTGCAGGGACCTGGAATGGCAGCATCAGGCAGCTCATACTTCTCAGGCATGAATTTCCAGAGCCTGCTCGTTGCAGTGCTACCCTGTGTTTCTGGGCTCATGCCGAGGACATGCCTGAACATCGTATTTCCATCACAGCTTTGTGGGAGTTGCCTTCCTTGGGGTTGGTTTCTGTCTCTGGAGGGGGATTCGCAATTGTCTTGATTTTGAAACACACTCTTCGCACTTTGAAACATGGTTTGGAACGTTTCCCTCCCCCCACCGCTCCCGTGCTGCCTGGACCTGTCACTCCAGAGTGTCCAGAGTGGCTGCTCTCCATGTTCAGCTGCTTGCTTTGACCAGGCTCCCAAATAACTACCTGGGTCCTGATGAGTTTTGTCTCAGGGCAGAGATGCCGACCCGTAAGTACTCAAACAAACTTGCATCCAACTGGTGGTCTTCCAGCTTCTGCTCCCAGAGTTCTGGGACTGCAGGCGTGTGCCACCATGCCCTGCCTAGAGGAATAATTGGGAGCAAATTGCGAAATACATAGTTTATAATTATCTAGACAGAAAACAGTGATCGGCATTTATTAAACATAGGTTATTTCAACCTAGCCCTGTTCTCTTTGGAAACTTACTAAACTGGTAGAACATAAAAATTCCCAGGTGTCATTTACCTGAACTAATTATATTTTGATCATTTAACAAGAAATGCCTTGTCCTAAAAATTAAAACTTAGATAAGGGCCTTTTTTGGTTGTCTTCCAAATCCAGTCTTCTCACAGTAACACCAGTTTGGCATGTGTCACCCCCAAACTGTTTTCTGTGCGTTTATTAGAATGCATCCAGTTCTGTGCCAATAGAGAGCACAATATTGTTTGTGGTGTTGAAATAAAAATGTGTGTCTTAGAATAACTCCATCTGCCATGCTTTTAAACTTTTGTGTGAAGTCCTCTGGAGTGGATAAATTGCTTTGCACTTGGCCATTCTTCCCAATAGTGAATATTTAGATTGTTTGCGAATCTAGACTTTAGCCAGACCTCTTTAAGCCCTAGCACATGGTGCTAGCTCTTTGAAAGGGATTCGTGATGAGAAGAATGGACTCAGTCTGGAGGGAGACTGTCCAGGACAGTACAGGGCTGTGCCCCTCTGTCATTCTAACCAACAGCCTGGGCCATGTGACATTCGCTAGTGGATGAAGCTAGGAGAGGTGGTTAGTACTTAGAGTGCAGAATCAAGCCAGGTGTAGGGTACACGACTAATGCCAGAACAGGCTGAAGCAGGAGGATCACAAATTTGAGCTCAGCCTGGACAGTTGAGCAGCTTAGCAACACACCATCTCAAAATAAAAAACTAAAACTGGCTGGAGATTATAGCTCATTGCAAACACCCTGGGCTAAATTCTCTACACTGTAAGGAAAGAAAAAAGGAGACGAGGAATACAGAATCAGGTCCTAACAAGTATGGGAAAGCTAGAGTACATTTCAGTGTTTAATGTAAGGTCCAGAAAGCAATTAGACACATTTTGTAGGAACATTTGCAAAGGGCTCTTCTGGGACAAGAAGGCTTTGGTTGACAAGAGCAGCGCAATTTCCTGAATTCATGGCTGATGGGAGAGATAAGGTGATTTCTTGGCAGCATTGAAGAAGTACGAGCCAGGCATGTTGGCACAGGTCTATAATCCCAGCTACCTGGAGGCCGAAGCGGGAGGACTGCAAGTTTGAGGCCAGGCTGGGCAACTTACTATACTAACACCCTGCCTCTAAAGAAACAAACAAATAAATAAGGGCTGGGCATGTAGCTCAGGGATAGAGCACCTGCCCAGCATGTGCGAGGCCTTAGCACATTCACTGTGTTCAATGCCCAGCACAAACAAGCATGTACTCATTCCAGAGCTAGGAAGGTGACATTCTGTACTGGCCGGCCTGCAGCTTGCTGGTGGTCTGAGCCTTACAGGTCTTCCACTGCGTACTGTGCTTTTCGCTTGGAACTTTTTCCTCACAGTGTTACTGAATAATGGGTTGTAACTGCAGAGACTTAACCCCTTCCTGCTGGCTTGGCTCTTAGAATGTGTTACAGGCCCAAGCCAGTTGGAAGCTGAGCCTCGTATTTTCTTGTCAGAGTTTTCCCTGGGCGTAGCCGATCCCCAACTCCAAGCTTGGCTTCAGCCACTGTTGTGATGGATCTGACCTAACCCCAGCGGGCTAGACCTGGAACCTGATTCTTTCAGGTCCAGCTAATGTTTGCTGAGGTCTGCTGTGTTCCTTTCTGTGCTCACAATGACCTTATGGTCCCAGGGTTACACGTAAGGAAACTGAGGCCCGGGAAGGTCATGTGATAAGCTCAGGGTAATATGGCTGGTGGGGCTTAGAGGGTAGCTCAGTGGTAGAGCACTTGCCTAGAAGGCCCTGAGTTTGGTTCCTAACACACAAAAGTGATGTGATTCTATGTAGACTTCTCCTCAGTCTGGCTGTCTTCACTTCCAACCTGATGCACTTTGCCCCATAACAGCGTTTGCATGCACGATCCTCAGGGGTTAAACAGTGCCTGTTTGTCAGGCCACTGTGTTCAGCCGTTCCAAGGACAGAAGCTCTGATCCTAGCCTGGCACCTGGACTTCTTTCTGGTTTTCAAGCTTCCCCAGAGCCTCAGATTCTGGAAAGGTGACCAGAGAGATATTAAATGCTGGACTTCGGGCCTTCGCCTCTGTGGCTTTGAATGTATCTTTTTTGTTTGCTTGGTTTTGTGTTTTTGCAGTACTGGGAATTGAATGCAAGAAGTGCCAGCCCTCTAAAAATTTTTAATTTAAGGGCCCGCGATTTGACTCAGTGGTTCTGCCGCCTGCCTGGCAAGCACAAGGTCCCAAATTCTATCACTAAATAAATAAATAAATAAATAAAATTTAAATTAATTAAATAATTAATAGGTGTTTTTGAGACAGGACCTCCTGATATAGTTTAGGCTAGCCTTGAACGCATGTGATCCTCCTGCCTCAGCTTTCCAAGTAGCTGGGATTACAAGTGTTTGCCACCTCTTCCAGCTCTGATTTCTTCTTTTACTTTTCACATTTTTATTTCTTGCGGTCCTAGGGATTAAGACAGTCTCGCCGAGTCACGAAAAGGCCCAGGGTGCCTCTGGATTTGCCATCCTTCTGCCTCTGCTTCTGGAGTGTTGGGATTATAGGCACGCACCGCCAGGCCCACGTGGACTTATTTCTAATATTGGGTTTCTTTTGAGGATGTTGCAGCTCTAGGAGGAGTTTAAATGCTGAGCCAACAACCCTGGCCGTTAGGTGGGGAGAGGGTGTGAGCAGTCTCCTGGGTCTCCCAGGGCTGCCTGCTGTGACAGCAGAGGCACTTCCTGAAGGACTCCCTGGAAAGCAGACCTCCCCACCGCGGCCCCAGCACTAGAAGTCTGCTGGGGCTGGGTGTGAGGTGGGGAACTCATACTTGCTTCCCCCCAAGCCCCTCCCTGAGAATCGTCTTTGAAAGATACTTGTCTAGAGACGTGGAGATGCTCCTGCTTCTGCAGAGTGGGACACCTGACCTTTCCGGGTCACACAGGACCCTGTCCAAGAACTTGGCTTCGGGTCTGATGCCGTCCTTCCCACCTCTCCTAGCATAGCCTCCTGGCTGAGCACATGCATCCTTTTCTGCCCTGGATATCTCCCAAGAAAATGAGAACAGGACTGTTCTCTGCCAGATTCATTCCCAGCAGCTGCCTGCAGATATCTGAGCTTCTGTCTCCTTGTGAGAGAAGGAAGCTGAGGCAGTGCCCCCTGCTGGCCACTGTAGAAGATGCTTATGGGCGCCTCCTCACCAGCCTTGGCCCCCAGCCAGGCACCTGCTGCCATAGGAGGGCCCCAGCTTGGGCTGTGGGACTCTTCTTTTGCCCCCTCCAGCCGTGTCCTGGCTCCTGAGAGTGGAGTAGAAGCAGTGCTGGATGCTGAGAGCTCACTTTGTCAGGGTGGCCTGTGTCCTCTTCCTCGCTCTCTCCACATGAGAAAACACATAGGCATCGGAGATAAAGGGATCTTTGTTGCAGCCGGCTTCAGCCAGCGCACAAAGACGACTTGTCAGGACTAGGGAAGGGATCCTGGCTCCCACCCCGCCCATGTCTCCCTCCTCACCAACAGGGAATGGTGGGGTCTGAAAAGGACACTGGAGCTCTTTAACGGGCAGGGAAGGCAGCCTCTTTCCCCTAAACCTCTGCCAGTGATTGGGGTGGGGTCACTTGGCTTTGCTTACTCTTCAAGGCTAGTGATGAAAACTGTGGTCCTGAACCTTAGTCATAACCATTTTTATTTTCTTTCCCAGAAGTTCTGCATTTGAAATGGAAGTCCAACTTTACATTATATTCTAAAATAATGTTTATATTCCTCCAATTTCTACCACAGAGTGGTAGAGATCTTAAGCAGCAAAGGAAATCACAAAAGAAAAATAATTCTTCCTTCTAAGAGATAAACACTGTTCAAATTTTCTGCTGCATTTTCTTTGTTTTGTTTAATCCTGGGTTTTTGTATAAGTTGGGTTGCTTCTCCTCAAGGTTAAGGGGAATTTCTCTGACTCCTGTATTCTGGGTGAGGACCAGGGCCTGATGTGTGCCCTGACACACAGTTGGAACAGCTGAGGCAGGGCTTCTGGTGCCCAGTGCATTCTGGTGCCCCATATGTTTTGGTGTGCTGCAGGGCCTGGTGTCTGCCCCGCTTTCCTTAGGACATCTGTGGGATGCCTTTGACAATCATATGGCTCTCGTACCTCTGCCTTTCCCCTCAATGAGGGTTGCTGAGAAGGGATGAACTGGAAATAGCTCCGTGAAACCTTCTGGGTAGATCAGGCAGGAAGCTGAGAGGTCTCTGCTGTTGCAAGAGATAGACAGACCTCTGTGCCTGGATGTTGACTCATCTGGGACTCCTGTTGAGGCTGGCGTGAGGGCATCCAAGACTGCGCTAGATGCAAGAGACATGTTTGTGTCTCCTGCACACCGCTTTCTCACATGGGCTGTGGCCTCCCTGAGGGCTCAGATTTGGGGAGAGTGGCTTATCTGGGTTCCCTGTGCTGCCTGTGAGACTGCACTGCCTACTCGTGGCAGTCAGTGTACCCCTGTTGCTAATCTCCTGGTCCCCAAGCTGACCTTACCCTTATTCCCCTCTTCTCTTCTGTAGTCCAGCTGCCAGCCTGTCTGGAAGGTGGGCACGAGGAGGGTGGCCTCTGGAGTCACAATTGTTAGCTTTCCCTCCCCTTAAGATGGCCCTAACTAGTGATGACAAGAGCCCCTCCTAGTGATGTCACAAGCTCCCCAATCCCTAGCCACTGCATCACTCAACCCCACCCCAGCTCCTATAAAAGGAGCTCCCTGTTCTGCCGTGTTGCTCTCTCCCCTCTGTTTGGAGACAGCCCGGCAGATTCTCCCCATCATAAAGGCTTGGTATGGTCCTGGTTTTTGACTCTTTTTACCTAACAAGAATACCTGGCTTATATTCTGTGCCAGCTCTGTGACCTGTGCTTCAGTTTCTCAGTTTCCATACAATGCAAACAATGTTACCTAAACCATCAGGCATGAAGAGGGAAAGGCACTTGACATACAGTAAATGCTAAAGAAATATTTGTCTTTATTGGCTATGAACATAAAGTTCTTTCTTCTGTTTGAGCTTTCTTCTCCTTACCACTGATATTTGATGACCTGATGTCAGTTTCATGAGCCTGATGTAACTTACACCCCAGAGCTTCTTGCCTGCTTCTACCTCTTGAAAGTCAAGCTTCCTGACTTCCAGAGGTCCCAGGAAGTTCCCCTTATTTGGAGGCCCCACTCCTTCCCTCGCCAGTCCAGACCAAGGTTCTCTCCTGGTGCTTCCTCATCCCGGGTGTCTCTGTGTCTCACCCTCATCCCCTGGACAAGTCCTTACTCCCCGCCCCAGTCGAGCATGTCCCATGAAAATATCTGCCACTAGCCATTTATATCTCCATGTAATCTTAGACACTAGGTCATACAAATTGGTCAGTAAATGAGATTATTCCAAGACAAGAGACATTCTATTCCCCATTGAGAAATTTCAAAGAGAAGAACTGTACCCTCTGCTGGTGTCAATTCTTGTGTTTCGCCCTCATGATACATTGTCTCATTCCTGATCCTTTGTGTACCACCAATGCCTTCTCCATTACTTCTTCCTCCCTTTTTCTAAATACTTAGTGTACCTGTGTCTTTCCGGGACCTTGGATCCCCAGCTGTGGCTGCCCTCTCACGTCCATTTCCCGGCAGTACCCTAGGATGATGTCACTGCTTCCCACATGATCGTTTTCCCTCACTGAGGGTTCCTTTCCTAGAGCTTCCAAGCTACCCTTTGTCAGGCCATGCCTGGGCTGCTCCTGCATCTGTCTGTGGTTGAGGCTCTGAGGCAGACAAGCCTCCCTTTGCTCTGGCTGCGCCCATTCCTAAATGAGCAAACTCTGCTTCCCTAAGCTCTAAAGCAGGCAGAAGAGCAGCAGCAATTTCATTGGATTGTAAGAATTAAACTGGGGGATCAAATTAAGCTTAGTGTGTGCTTACACTGTAGTAAACGCTCAATAAATGGTTGTTGTTAATAACAATGCTATGGTTAACAATGATACTTTTTTCTCTCATACATCTGATCAGACCATAGGGTACGACCCTGTCATTTCTCCAGAAGTCTCAGCTTCCTTTGGGGTCCAGCAGCTGCCTCTGGAGGAGATCTGGCCTCTCTGTGATTTCATCACTGTACACACTCCTCTGCTGCCTTCCACAACAGGTAGTCTGTCCCTACCTTGTGGGTTGGTCACAGAGGCCACAGATCAGATAGGGAGTGGGCTCTCAGTCTGGGCCTTCTGCAGACACTGGTGAGCAGGTTTGGGGAAAGGCTCTGTTGGGTGCCTCTGCACCCAAGGAGGGGTGAACTAGCTCAAAGTGTGTGGGTGCTGTAAGGATGGGGAGGCACTAAGAAAGAACTGTAGTCTGGGCTAGTTGGGAGAAACAGGATCCTCCAAGGGGCCACTAGAATGGAAGGAAGGAAGGAAGGGTGGAAGGGAGAGAGGGAGGGAGATTGGCTAACTCCCAAGAGGTGGCAGCAGGCAGGAGACTACAAAGGCCTTATGGAAAGTTTAGATAGAAAAAAGCTATGTTCATAGTTAATAAAGACAACATTTATTTAACACTCACTGTGTGTAAGATGCTTTCATATAACTCATACCTGATGCATTCAGTACTATTATTACTGGAGCTTGATGCATGTTCAAGCAGTGGCCCATGTGGATTCTTCCCAGAGCCCCTGAAGGAAGTTTTTGATCTTTTGGGCCCACTGAAAGTCTTCACATCTCCAGAATGTCCAGTATGTTTCTAATCTGACTGTACCCAGATCTAGAACCTGGAACTCCTGCCTCTAAGTGTCTGGAAGGAAGGGGTTAGAACAGAGAAGCAGCTGACCAGCAGGAAGAGGCCTCAGGCAGGAGCTGGTTCAAAGGAAGACAGGGCCTCTGGAGCCCTGCCAATGTGGAATCCAGGTGCCTTTGCAGCCATCTGCTCTTCTCTTTTTTCCAGGTTTACTGAATGACAGCACCTTTGCCCAGTGCAAGAAGGGCGTGCGTGTGGTGAACTGTGCCCGAGGAGGGATTGTGGATGAAGGGGCCCTGCTGCGGGCCCTGCAGTCGGGTCAGTGTGCTGGAGCCGCGCTGGATGTGTTCACAGAAGTAAGTAACTGTAGCCGAGTGTGGGGGAACAGGAGAGAGATGAGAAGCAGGGAGGCCCAGGGCAGGGGAAGTCTGGCATTTCACTGTCTCCAGCATCAATCAGAAGCTGGGAAACTATTGCCAAGAGTATATGTGTGTGGTCTGAGGAGCTTTTGCAGATCTTGGTACAGAGGTACACGATGTCTGCTGCAAACTCAGATGTTTAGCCTGGGTGTGGTGGGGCATGCCTGTATTCCAGCACTCGGGAGGCTAAGGCAAGAGGATCAACTTGTGCTACATAGTGAGTTCGGGCCAGTCTGAACTGCATAGTGAGACCCTATCTCAAATAAAACCACACTACACACACACACACACACACACACACACACACACACACACTCACAAAACCTCAGATGTTTAAGTAGGACCCTAGTCCTGGTCTTGGGCTTCTGAGACTGTTGTCATGTTGATAACCTGGGAACAGTGGAGTGGCAGATGAACGAGATGGAGGATTTGAGGCAGGGAGAAAGGGGAGTTTAGTGCATTGCTACAGGTCTCTTGATTTAAGTGCAGTTTCACAGCCAGGAAGACAGTTTATCTAGCATCCATTGGCATTCCTCTTTCTTCAGAGATAACGGATAAAACAGGGCAGCATGGCAGAGGGGCATGGCATGGGAGGTGGCAGGAAGCAGCAGCAGCGGCAACAGCAAGACTTCCTTTCTGTTTTGTCTCATCCAAGCTGCGAGCCTGTCGGTTGGTCCCACCCAGGGTGAGCCTTCCCATTAGCTACAAAAACTACGCTAAACCAGGCAGTCCACTAACTTAGTCATCACACACCCTTAATCTGTATTCATTCAGGCTAGATCCAGACACCTGAAAAGCCCCACATATGAGCATGTGAGGCTTTGGGAGGAACCTCTAGATACAAGCTATAACATGCCCACCAGCATTGTAGTAGAGCGTTTCTTTTTACACAGTCATCGCCAGCGTTTGTTGGATTTTTTGATGAGCCATTCTTTCTGGAGTGAGATGGTATCTCACTCAGTATGGTTTACATTTGCATTTCTCTGATGGCCAATGACCATGAGCATTTTGTTTTTTCATGTATTTATTGGCCATTTGTACTTTTTCATTTCGGTTGCCCATTTTTTTATTAGGTCTTTTATTTTGGGAGAGCTAATTTTTTTTTTTTTTTTTTTAGTTCTTTATATATTTTATTTTCTTTCCCATTAGGTTTCTTGGTATAATTTAGATATGCAGGACAGTTACATTAATAATTGGGAACTTATGCCTTTACATAACCTATCTTGGTTCTTATTTTTTCCCCATCACCCTGCCCTCTCTTCACTCCCTCCACCCTACCTATTTACAAAGACTTTGTTTCCATGTTTTTCCTTTTCTTATATTTTCTTTTCCTTTCTTAAGTTTCCCCTACCCCTCCCACTTCCCCTGCTCCTTTAGAACTTTTCTTCCTATTACACAATATCAGTTATACATTTTGATCCTTATTTATACTTTTAGATTTTCACACCAGAGAAACTATTCAGTATTTACACGTGTGTGTCCTATTAATTTCACTTAAGAGTATGGCCTCAATATGCATCCACGTTTTGGAGAATGACCCATGTGCAGCCAAAAAAAAATGTGTATTCTGATTTTGTGGGGTGGAACACTCAATAGATGTGTATTAAGTCCATTTGTTCAAAAGCTTGATTCAGTTCTAGTATTTTGTTGTTGATTTTTTTTTTTTGTCTAGATGATCTATTTGTAACAGTGGTGTATTGAGGTCCCCACTACAATTGTATTAGTGCTTATTTGGTTTTTCAAGTCCCTTAATATTTGTCTTGTATAGTTGGGGGCATTAGTATTTGGTGCATATATTTGTGATTGTCATCTCTTCCTCTTGGATTGTTCCCTTTACAAGGATGTAGTGACCTTCTTTGTCTCTCTAAATTAGCTTTGGTTTGAAACTTACTTTGTCTGCAAATGAGATAGCTACCCCTGCTTTTTTCCTGGTTCCTATCGCATGGAGAACTGTTTTCCATCCTTTTACTTTATGAGTTTCTCTTTAAACTAGGTGCATTTCTTGGATACACCATATTATTGGATTTTGCTTCTTAATCCATTCTGCCAGTCTACATCTTTTGATTGGTGAATTGAGGCCGTTAACATTGATGGTTATAACTGATCTGTATTGACTTATCATCACCATGTTATTTTTCTGTTGTTGGCTCTTTTTTATCCCCCCCCCTTTAATTTCTGGCCTTGCCTGATGGATTTGCTCTGTTGGGCCTCATGGAGTTGTGGCCTTCGTTGGCTTTTTCTAGGATATTGTTTAGAAATGTTTGGTGTGCTGGTTTGGTATTCATGAAGTTTCTCAGGTTTTCTTTGTCACGGAAGTATCTTATTTCCCCATTAATTTTGACAGAGTTTTGCAGGATACACCACTCTAGGTTGGAGATTGTTTTCTTTTAAAGCTTGAAATACCTTGCTCTGGGCTGTCCATGACTTGAGGGTTTGTATTAAAAAATCTGCTGTGATTCTGATGGACTTTCCTTTGCACTTGATTTGTTTCTTTATATGTTCTCTCTCTTTTTTTTTTTTTTTTTTTTTTTTTTTTTTTTT